GCCAAGGCCCCCCCCCCCCCCCTCCCCCCCAGCTTATCTACAGGAGCATGTGACTGCACAGTGAAGGAAGAAGCAGCACCCCCAGGGGAGATGATGCAGAGGCCACACCCCTTGCACCACTCCCTCCTCCCCTCCTCCAACCTGTGACTGTACAATGAAAGAAGAAGCAGCACCCTCAGGGGAGATGATGCAGAGGCCACACCCCCTTGCACCACTCCCTCCTCCAACCTGTGACTGTACAATGAAAGAAGCAGCACCCTCAGGGGAGCTGATTCAGAGGCCACACCCCTTTGACCACTCCCTCCTCCACTCCACCAACCTGTGACTGTACGATGAAAGAAGAAGCGGCATCCTCAGGGGAGATGATGCAGAGGCCACACCCCTTGCACCACTCCCTCCTCCCCTCCACCAACACCTGACAGTGAAAAAAGGAGCAGCACACTCATTAGCGCACCTCTCTGTCACCCCGCTCTCTCCTCCAATCAGCATGCTGATCAGCTCCTGCTTCTCCCTTCCCCCATGGACAGAGACCGCAAGAGGCTGATACGGAGTCCATCCCATCAGTCGCCCTGCAATGTATTATTGATCCCAGAGCCGCATTCATCTGCGTCTTTTATATCCCCTCCCCCAGGGTTCTTCTTCATTCCGGGTGATCAATACGTGACCTCGGTGGGGGGGAGGGGGGGGGATTAAGAATAGGGGGAGACCCTGAGGCGATGACATCACTTGCGCCAGGGACTGTATGAGCCGTCCATAGAGCTGCGCGGCAGGACGCCGGGGGATGCCGGACATTTGTTTCCCCCACGCCTACAAATCCGGCATTTATGGGACTCCGGAGCTCTTTTGTTACCTCGTCCAGTAAAAGTGACGCCGCGGGTTCCGTGTTTCCATATCGCGGAAGAGCGCCGGATCCCCGTCCCAAGGAATCGGGGAGTCTGGGAACGAAAGGGTTACCCCGGCTCAACTGTCTCATAGTAAAAACAAGCCGCAGCAGCACGAGCTGAAAGCGGAGGAGACGATGGGAGGCCATTATAGGGCACCCTCCCCCACATCACCCCCACCCCGAGTCCCCTGAGCACCGGTCCTGATATCCTGTTTTAGGGCAGCTCCTTTCCCTTGCAGGGACCTATGGAGCCACCCTTGTTGGGGCTGGTAAGCTGTAGGAGTCTCCATGAACACACAGGCACAGCAAGGCACTGCTCCCCTCTGGCCCTGCTCATTTTTCCCACTTCCAATTTAGGGGTGCCTCCTTTCCCTTGCTGGATCCTATGGGAGCCACCCTTGTGTGCACCAGTGAGTTCCACGAACACAGCAAGGCAAGACACTCCATTGCTCCCCTCATGCCCCTGCTCCTGTCTTCCATTTCCAAGCTGGTATATAGATGTACAGAGGCTGGAAACTGTTGGAGGGGCTCCTTTCCCTTGTAGGATCCTATGGGAGCCGCCCTTGTGTGCACCAGTGAGCTGTGTGTGTCTCCACGAACGCACAGGCGCAACAAGGCAAGGCATTCCAC